GTTAGTTTCGAACTGCACTCCGGACAAGAGTTGCAAAGTACAAACAAAACCTACAGTTGGTATCATACTTAAAGTGCAGTGTTCAAAACTTCGTTCAAAATTTTTTCCCCGGGATTTTCTTCTATTCCCTTCTTCCTTCCCCCACTTACCCCATTTCATCCGGTTAATTGAATGTAGTACTCTTACCTTGATGAAAGTTGATGAAGTTGATGGGAGTTGAACCTCGGACCTGGGAGTTGGTAGCACAGTACGATGACCACTGAGCCACTGCGACACCATGGCTCTGGTCTCGCAGTAACTCAATGACATGCTAAGCGCTCCGGTCCGACAACTCACAGTCGAACTACAGTCGGACTACAGTCCAGCTAAAGTTATGCTACATTTTATTCACCGTTTGCATAGTTCCTATGCTGTCTAAGATTTACAACCGAATAAATCGTCTCCTGCTGCTAGGTTCAAAATGCAGTGTACTACACGTGCACACCGGCCATTATTTGCATGTATACGTATTACGCACGTAGTATCAATAAAGCATTCCGGTAAAGCTGAAATGGAGAAGAATGCGGGGAAGGAGAAAACGGAACTCGCCATACTTTAACATGTGACTTCCGTTTTCTCGTTCCCTGCATTCTTCAGCATTTCAGCTTACCGGAATGCTTTATCTTTGTGTAAAAGTATTTTACTACGAGCTGGGGAGGCGTCAAAAAGCATCGTGAGCACGGCCGGCAGTTTGGGAAACATGTACTCACCCTCCTGAGTAGGTAGCTAGGCCTGGTTCGGGGTATTTCCTTTCGCCACACTCGGCCCATAGTATGCTCCCGGCCGGCAGAACGGCACGTGTGCGGGGGTTGGGGCCGAGCGGGAGCGGGATGTCTTTTACCTGCTACGGTGATGAGTCGCCTCTACTGCCCGGTCTGTTTACCAGGTGAGGTGCAATGTTCAGCCAAAAACAGACTACAGTATACTTTAAAACTGACAGCAGTAATTCCGAAACTGACCGCTCAAATGTACTGTACAGCCGAAAGCAGTCATTACATTTCTTTTTAACTCTATATTTTTAGCTTATTGAATGTAAAACAGACTGAATTCACGAAGTACAACTGAAAGAGCGAATCATGTCGTCAATTTATCTGCTTTTAAACTACAGCAACAACTCAATATACCACTTACGTTACGGTGTGCATTCTCAAGTGTAGTTGCGAGAGCAGTAAAAGTGTGTGTTATTTATAGTTCTTGCTGTTATTTGAGCATGTAGTCGTGATTATAAACAGCATTAGAGTTAAAATACAATCATAACTATAGTATAGCAACTACAGTTGGGCAAGTACAGTTTCGAATGCAGTTTATCTGTACTTCTTTCCACCCGGGAAATGAACATGCTATTCATAAAGACGTACAGGGAGGCGTCAAATCGTAAAATGGAAGAGGAAGAACCTCACCAAAACAGCACGTTCTGGATCAGGAGCTACTCTCGGAATCACTGTACTTTTAACCGTATTGAAGCTGTAGGTAGATGTATTCAGAAAAGCAAAAAGACAAGTTTTAAGACTGCTTGACAAACAATACGTCCTAAAAACTGCGCTTGTTCATTTTATTTTATTTTACTGCTTTTCAAAGCATAAGGGTTGGGTGGAGTCTCGGTGTCGCACCGTGACAGTCTTTAATCATGTCTTAGGAGCTAATCTTAAGAGCCGCACCCCCCCCCCCCCCCCCCAGCCCGGAAGCATAATTTTGTTTGATCTATATATGGTGAAACGAAAGGCCACCGGCAGGTCAAGCTTCGCCTGGCCCTTGCCGAATGGAGTTGTCTGCGGAGCGAAGAGAAAGGTTAGGCCTAGCTTGTTTGCATAGCTAGAAATGTTTAATGTGTTCACACTTCACAGGCCTATCAACTACAAGGTCCCCAATTGATCTGAGAGTTGAGTGTGTAGCTTTGCAAAGAAACATAATCCATTAACAACCTGCTGCTCCTTGTGCTCGTGCTCGTGGCCGTAACAAGGCCAGCTGGATGGTTTACTATGTACATTTTTGTTGCAGACATCCGTCCTCCAGTGGGTGCGAGACCACCGGGCGCATCATAAATACGTGGACACTGATGCAGACCCTCATAACTCAAAGAGAGGTTTTTTCTACTGTCACATAGGCTGGACTATGATGCACAGACATCCAGAGGTGAAACGGCAGGGGGCCAAAATTGACTTCAGTGATGTATTGGCGGACTCTGTTGTGCAGTTCGAGCATCGGTATGTGTTATGTGGTCTACGGACTTAAAAGAAACATGGTCGGCTGAGCGATAGTGAATACTATTTAAGGGGAGGCTACACTGATATTGGCATCACCATGAAATTAAAGGTCATGGTATGGGGGGAATTTTTTTCACGGTTCAGTATGTCAAGAAAGCGCTAAAAAGCTGTGTCTGCAGTCTGTGGGTCAAACCGTTCAGTAGTTAGATTTTTGTAACGTTGTTTGCAGAGTCTGACTAGAACTACTCCTTGTGCATTCAATTTGGTCGCAGAAGGTTCGCATAAGGTTTTTTGAAATGACCAAGGAACAATATCTATTGACCACATCTTCAATTTTATGTCTTGGATGATTTTTAACATTTCGTTTTATTTCAGACTTTTTAAAAGTTCCAAAATACTGAAAATTACGGCTAATTTATTTTTTTGCTTACAAAAATCAAATGAAATGTGTAATTATGGTCAATAGAAAGTGTTGAGGGTACTTCAAAGTAGATCTTCACAAATTCTCAACATCATAGCTCAAAACCAAATGCGCAAGGGATTTTTGGAATGTTGGAAAACAGGGTTCTAAATAAACCGAAAAAACTAATTTTCTGAGTCTCAAATTAGTTCCGTATTGTGAACTGAATTTATTAACGGTACCAGAGTAGCAAGTAAAAAAAAATTGAGGGACACAACAGGGTTTAGAGGTGAAAGATCGAGCATTACGTAACGACCGGTATTTTGACAAGAAACTGCCATTTTTCAGTGTAGCCTGCCCTTAAGCGATTCTCAGCAAACAGGTCACTAAGGAGTTCCTAAACTATTATTTTCCTGTCGAATTTGTTAGGTTTTTTTGTCAGAGTGTTTTCATTTCACTCCAAATACGATACTTTGCAATGTAGTAATAGCCAAGTTCTTAAAGGGTTTTATACCACACCCAGATGGTAAAAAGCACTAACATAATTTGGTGCACTGCAAAAAGGAACTCGCAATAGGTGGTGACGAGCACTTTAAAGGGTCGAAATGTGCATTTCATTATGCTCCTAATGACTGGAGTTCGTTCCGACAAAGACAGAACACGATCGGTTGAACAAAAGCAAATACTATTTGGGTAATTCTCAGGAAACTAGCAATTTTTGACTTGGAAAATTTCCAGACAATCTTAAGAAAATATTCGTCTAAGGTGCGTCGCATTTATGGGGTGACATTTGGGTCGACCATCGTCCCCCTAAGTCCGGTTATTCATCAGCAAACTACGCCCACCCTTCCGTCAAACGAAGTTGCCAGCTTACATTAACACGTACAAGGAGGCTTCAAATCGTAAAATGGCGAAGGACAACCCCCTTCCACAAAGAGCACAGTCTAAATCGGGAACTACCCTCGGATTCGCTGTATCTGTAACCGTATCGGAGATAGAGGTAGATGCATTCAGAGCAATCGCGTACAGTCAAGTTTTAAGACGGTTTCACAAACAATAGGTGGTAAAACCTGCGCTTGTTTTTTGAAATGGACCCGTTTCTGCCAGACAGAAGAGGGGGCGCGTCATGGTTCAATACCACCTGTTGAGCAGCTCCACACCCACGCCCGGGTACCAGAGCAACAATAGACACCTTGCTCTCTGAGTATAGGGTGTTCCAGGCAATCTAAAACGGAAGTAGGAAAAGAAGAAACTCACTGACCTTTTTCCGTAATGACTCTGATTGGTCGAGCTTATCACGTGCCTCCGAGGCCTTTCAGGTATGAGAGACTGTCAGTTCAGTTTCGAGCTCCCCTCCATATTTGAGAGGTTAGGATCGGACCAAACTGCCATGGTAGTTTCTCATACTGGGCGGACGGAAACAGTTAAATCAGTGAGTTTGTTCTTTTTCACTTCCGTTTTAGATAGCCTGGAACACCCTATTCGGCCCCCCGCGCGCGCTGCTCAGCGCCCACGCCAAAAATTGTGTTCAATTATAAAAGTAATGATTAATAGGCTAATTCACGAAAATATCACGCAAAAAGATACATTAAGGACAAGAACAGTACAGCGAGGAGGCATCGGATACCTAGCTAGCGTCCGAAAGCGGAAGCCCTGTAAGAAATAATCTGGGCGGACCCGGGCGAAAACGGGCGAACGCGTGCCCCGTGCGGGCACAG